TGAGCTGGAAGACAAGTCTCTCAATACCACTAAGATAAAAGAACAAACACAAAAAAGGATAAAAAATTCGGAGGAAGATCTAAGATTCATGTTGGACAGACAACATGAAGAGGAATAACTTAAGAATTATCGGCATTCTAGAACAAGAAGATTCCCACAAGAATAAGTTACGAGGACCACAGTATCTCACACTTAGGAATACAACTGTTAGTAGCAGGCTTTGTGGTTTGGGCTAAATATATTAAGTTTAAACTATTCAGTGATTTAAATTTAGTAAGGCAACTGAATAACATGTAATTTTTTTGGTACACTTTAAACCATAAATTCTGGTGGTGCTGTGGGTTAAGCATTGGTGATTGATAAAGCACAAGGTCGCTATTTTAAGCCCACCAGTCTCTCTGTGGATGTAAAGATGAGGCTGTAGGATCTCATATGATTTACAGTCATAGAAAACCAATGGAGAAGTTATACTCTGTCCTATAGAAACACTATGAGTTGTAACCAACTTGATGTCAGTGTGTTTTGGTTTAAACCATAGGTAAAATAATTTTGCCATAACCTTTCTAAAAACAACAATAACATTTCATTTGCTTTCCTCACCCTTAATTGGCAACAGTTGAAGTAAGTGTCTCTACTCATAAGTCAATATAAAATTAAGTAAGCACAGTCTTATTTTCTGAACCCTAGAAGGTCACATTATTTTTCACATGTAAGAAGATGAGCAACAACAAATGATGTCAAACAAAATAATGTTTATCAACTATAGATATAAGCACCATATTCATAATCAAAGATTTTCCCTAGAGCTTGTGAAAAATATATGTAAAGTAATTATTTGTTGGCAAATAATAAGTGCTTAGAAAAGATTTTTATAATTCTTAATGTAATTTTCTTTTATTACCCCTCCAAACTCATCTCCTACAATTCTTTCCCTTAATGACTATATTACAGCTACTTTAGCCTTCGCGTGTTTATCTGATTATATCATTCACACACCCATCTTACGACCATAGGGATCGCTATTCTCTCTGTCTGGAAGTGTTTTCTTTCAAGTATCCACATGGCCCAATATCCACATGGCTCAATTTCTACTTTATGAGAGAAAAAAAATAAGTTTCACTGTTTTAGATACAGGATTTCTCTTATGTATAAACAGTTCCAAAGCAGATGCCACTTTACAGGTGGCTTTTATTGAAGATGAAGACCCACAGGACATTTGGCCCTATGTAAATAGTTTTTAAGGAAAAGAAATACATTATCATTTGTCTGTACTCACAAAGGGTACAAGCTGATTGAATAGACAGCTCTCCAAAAGACAGAAAACCATCATGGTTACATGATGGCTTGTAAGTCACCTCTCTAGCTACGGGCCACGAATGTGATACTACCATGATAATCAACATATCAGAACATAATTTTCAGTTCACCACTTAAGTTAAAGAATATTTTGGATGTTTATGAATAGACGGCACAATGTGGGAATGTGTGCCATTGAATTGTATAGAAAAAGACTGATGGCAAATGAAGCGTATCCTTCTGACACAGCAACAGTAACCTTTTACTTGCAATAAATTCTAGTAGGCCATTCTCATGAGTTCTTCCTTCACTCATATTTATATCTGCTCAAATTACACCTCATCAGAACAGTCTTTTCTGTTGAAAAGAGAACTCTTTCTTCCATTGTTGTCCCTTTCATCATAATAATCATCATCACTTAAATACCACATTTTCATCTATTTTTAATGCCTCTCTCCCACTTAGAATAAATATATGAAAATATATCTTCATGAACATAAGGTTTCTGTTTTGATCTTGCTTTATCCACAACACTTCGAACCAACCACTCTTTCTTTAAGATATCACAGTATACAATGACAAATACTTTTGTAGAAAAAGATCAGTTGAAAACTGGAAGGGCTGGAAAGTAAGGAAATTTGAAGTCTAACAGTACAACATTGATTAAAATGTTTTTAATCACTTATTAATACAAATGGTAGGTTATGCAAAAAGCTTAAAGCTCTAACAGATGGTATGAGTGCACAACCCTTATTATTGCCATTGAGTTATAACTAAACAGCTCTTTGAAACTTTGACTTTGTACTGGGGCAGCCTCTGAACACATAAATGGGCAATCTACATTTATTAAATACCCTCAACCACAATGAATAGAAACCTGCATTTCTTTTAGCAAATTCAGTTTAGCATACTATTAACACTTTGACATTCACTTGTGTACTTGTAATACCATTTATTTTTGAGTAAATACAGTGCATGTATTAGCATATATACAAATGTATATAACTTATTTCATAACTAAACACTGTGATCTATGAAGTATGATCATAATACACCATTAAAATATATGTTTCAATGCTATGGATGAAATAAAGGGAAAAAAGACATCAAAAGAGTAGGCATGGGGAAACAAAGATACAGAGTTATTAGTTAACAAGGAAAAAAATAAAAATGAGAATAGAGTCGAGATCTCCAATGACAGTATGTCCAAACTCATACTGTGGAATACATAACACATTTATAATACATAACTGATTATAAATGCACTGTTGATGTTATTATGTGCCGTGGAGTCAGTTCCGACTCATAGCGACCCTGCACAGGGTTTCCGAGGCTGTTAATCTTTACGGGAGCAGAACTCATATTTCTCCCGCAGAGCAGTTGGTAGTTTCAAACTGCAGACTTTGCAGTTCACATCCCGATTAGTAACCACTACCCTACCAGAGCTCCTTTATGCATAGCACACTTATAATTCACTTCTATAGGAATGAATTTATTTAGGTTTTTAAGTTTCCAAACCAACATATTAATATAAGTTTTCATCTGGCTTTGAATTTCTCTTTAGGACTAAATATTTTTGTTTCATGTTAGTAATATAGTTTATTATTCATCCAATGTCTGTAGTAGTTGTACAAAGCAGGATGGCCTAAACAACCTTACTTTGCCTGAACAATCAGAGCTCATCATATACCGTGTGCTAATTCTCAAAACTATTTTTTTTTTTTTTTTTTTTTTTTTTAACTATATGAGCTATACTGAAGGGATGTCAAGCTACTGCCTGCCCGTCAGGATCATTCCCTCCAGTCCTCTAATCTCCTTGAAGACGAAAGGTATCTGAGAGACAGGTTATTAGAAAGCTTCTTCCCAGATCCTCCTGGTTCAAGACATGAAAACTTTACAATATTTATAATTTAATAATAAGAAAACAATAAGCCATTGTATTTTACCTAATAAAGTCTTCAATGTATCCCTTCTATTCTGCCTAAATTATCATTAGCATATCTATAAAACTAGCTCCTGTATTAACTTATTACTTTCCAGTTGAAACTATGAGCTATTCAAGAGACCATTTTCTCGGAACATGAAAACAGTCAGGCATAAAATCAAGAGATCTATATATTTATAAAAAATTATCTAAAATTTTCTACTAACAACTAATTAATTGTAGATATTTCCATTCTAGAAAATACATTTAGAGATTATCAGATAATTTTGTTGAAGGGTAACAGTGGGCATTTTCCATTTATCTAAAATCAAGTCAAATGTATTTATGAAATTCCAAACTGATCAGTTTTTAAAATTGTTGTTTGGAATGAAGAGATAATTTCAAAATTTGCTGAATCCAAATACCTGAACTTTGTATTACTTTTAAGTATGATTAGTTGTACCAAATATAAGACCTAATTCCATCAGTTATATAGTGTTTATTTTGGAAAATGTATACAGTTCTTTGCTTTTAAGTATATTATTAAGACTCTAATAATATACTTAAAATCACTGTACAAAATCTTTGTATATTTATATTTCAACAAGAAAACTGAATTCTTCTAAAGGTATCATTTTGCACAGCTGATCTGTTCTGTGCCATAATGTTGTGATATTGCTTTAGTGACAATTAAGATTCTATTTTGAGTTCATGGAAACAAACTTCTATCAGGAAGACGGATATACTGAGGAAACTTATATAAGAAACAAATTAACAGACCTTCTTTTCTATACTTACAAACAGACATAAATTATGACAAATAACCAGTTTTCCAAATTAACATAGCTTCATACTGAACTGCTGCAGAATTAAAATAGATAAAATATTTCAGTTTCTACAGCACTTACACACTTCAATTATCTTGCCAAGATCAACTGTGTCTAAAACATGTTGAAAAAATAAAAATTTCAGATAATGAAAAAGAAAAATTAAAGATCCACTAAAATAAATTATATCTGACAATATTATAGAATGGAGAAAAATTTCTTCTACACAAACAATACCGTTATCTGAAAATAAATATGAAATCAAAATTTTGAAGCACCGTATGCAAAGTACACTGTATTATTACTTATTCAATTTTTATAACTGACATATTCCAATTCCTATGTAAAGAACTCAACTGCTATAAGCAACATTTTATTACCTGATTTAAGCAGGATATTTTTACAACAGTTGCAAACTAGCTATAAAAGTAATACAAATTAAAATAAATCTCAAGTGTTAAAGGAAGCTGTTCCATAAACTCACATATACATATAACATATTTATCATACAGTAACATAACAACTATGTGTTAAGATGCAGATCAGGAAGTGCTGAGCTGCAAAAGATTTTATTTTGTCCAAGTTCCTACAAATCACAAAGTCAGAAAGTTTGATGTGATTCAGGACACTTGCACAAAGAATCACAATAGCTATTTGAACATCCAAGTGAGAAAATATTTACATATATTAGGATTATAATGAACATCTTTTAGAACTGAAATAAAATACCTAATTCTACATAGTAGTAAACTCACAACATTTAAAACATATCCCCCCCTTAAATATCAAAACATATATTATTCCTAATTTTACTTGATAGATTTAAAGGAAAAGGTATCTTGGAGACTCTTATTGCATACAAATACAGAGATTATTATATCATTTTCCATTTAAACACTAAACGAGAGTTTTAGAAGACAAATTAATCCAGTTATGAGACTGAAAACTCCTACCTGACTGTAAAATCTTCTATGTTATTGTCAATCATCATCTCCAAATTCTGTGAGCATTTCTTATATGGTTCTTGGAATAAATTATCCTCTGGAACTGCTTTAGGAGTATCTTCATTTGCTTTAAGATGTTTTAGTAGGTTTTTCTGGTGCCAATTCTGAAGAACTCTTTGATGGTCTGGGGCTGGTCCTGGCACTGGTGCCAGTATGTTGTGGTGAATAGGACTGTTGCTTTTCTTCAGTCCGTTTCTGTCTCGAGAGTGGTTTTTCAATCTACCCTGAACCGGAGTCCCTCTATGCTCATATCCTTCCTGCTGAAGGCAGCTTCCACTGCTTGTTGAACCTTGAGAAGGATGACTAAACCACCTCCAGCGTAGCCTTAGGATCTGTTTCACATCAAACTCTTTCTTGCCAGATACTGACATTGTTATACAGGGACAGAAAGGAAATGAAGCCTTTGTTATTCCTTCTCTGCCGCTTCTGCAGAGTTAACAAAAGGCACAACTGCCAAAAGCAGTCTTTTTTTTTGCTTTTTCTTCCTCCTCTTCTGCCTATGGTATTCTGTGAATACTTCTAGCCTTTCAGCTGTGTCAGAAAGCAGCAGCTAACTGTGTAGGTGGGAACCCATATTGACAGGATGATGAGGTCAGACCTTAAACAAGTAAATCAGCTTAGCACAGGAAAGCAGCTACCATAACACATTCCAGCTGCTAGATTTGCATGCCGCAGCTCTCCTACACAGCCTCATAAATATCTAACTTTTCTTCAGCATACAAAGTTGAAAAAGCAAGGTTTAAGCCCAGGTAGGTGAGCAAAAACAAGGTCTTTGAACACATTTCATTCTAGACTCCCTACACTGACCTCTCCTCCCACCTGCCTATTAGAATTCATTTCTCTGGTAGCCCACTTGTAAAAATGTTCCACTTAGCCCTAGGGGATTTTGTGAGAGGAGAGTTCATTGTGATCTATTTTTGTTTTTTTCTCATGGAAATTTTGAAAGTAGTTCATTAAGGGAAAGTGTCTTGTCAGCCATCCTGACATGTAGGCTTTCATTTCAGTTAATGTTAAGAAACTTCTGAAATTAAGACTGCCTCTCTACAAACATTTGCTTCTAAACCTACAGAGTTTCAAAAACATTACAAAGTGTTGGTTACCCATGATTATAATCACACACACATACACATACACACACACACACACACACACACACACACATCCTAAAAGGAAATATAGAGTGTGTCACTTTTCTGAGCTGGTTAGGTTGGAGGAGGTATCTTTCCATAGTGACCAAAACATGAAAATGAATAGATCACTCTGGCATCATGCCTGTGTAAACACTTCCTTATCATGTCCTTTGCTTTCACAGGCAAAAGTTTACTTTATTTTTCAAAGGTCTTTAGGAGAGGATGCAAAGAGGCACATTTTGAATCAACTCCAAATTATCACACAACAAAGCAATAACTGTGCATAAAATACTTAGGCATCTGAATTGAAATCACTATTTTATCCATATGTAAATAATTCTGAAACAGATAGTTGTGTATCAAGAATGCATTTACTGCTGATATAATGCCATTATGTGGGAGCATGGTGGCTCCATAATATACACACTGGACTGTGAACTACAATGCCCACTGTTTGAGCCCACTCTCTGCTCTGCAGGAGAAAGATGATGCTTTCTGCTCATGCAAAAGCCTAGGAAACCCTATGCAGGGTCGTTATGATTCAACACTAACTCGAAGGCAGTTAACATCAATGAAAATGCCATTCTGAATGAAGTTTGAAATGTATTCCCTTCCCATTTCACCCAGTGTGTCCTTAGAAAGAATAATGGCATTATAAGGTTTTGGTTTTAGTTCTGGCTCTATCATTAATGATTTGTGTGGGCTTGGATAATTTACTTTAACCTCTTTTAATTTCAGTTTCCTCATACATAATTTGAAGAGGTTTAAAAAAACCTCAAAATTTCCAACAACACTGAAATTCAACAGATTCAACCATACACACACTCAATTTAGAAAAAGAGAATAAAATTAATCTTTTTTTCTAAGTTTTGCTAAATATTCTAACTGCGTTTTTCTATAAATCCAATCTTCTCTTCTCTTTGGAGGATTTTCTCCCCTTGTACTTTGAAGTTATAGATATATAGTTGACTTTCATACCTGTTATAAACTGAATATTATCCTCTACAACTTTCCAATCTATTTACTAATGGCTCACTAAGTACTAGTGTTAGCATCTATTATCATCTCTCCTTGGTGAGTAAGTGTTGTCAGTACTATGCATGTAAATAATTGAAGAGAATCTTAACTATTACTATTGATTAACTCCAGACATCTCAGTGAGTACTGGAAACTACACATGAATTGCCTTTCTGTTATCTAGTTAGTATTCCAAGTACACTCCAATGGGTCAGCATCTGTGTTTTACACCTTTATATTTCCTACTGTGCCTCAAGGGCAATATTGAACAAACAAGCAGACTTATTATAACTGTAAAATAAAATTAATAAAATGTTATAATGGTGGCATAGATAATATGTAGTAGGAGCCAGATAACAGAATATACCCACTCCTCAATTATCACTTAGTTAATTTCCTAAGTCCAGGGTTTTATGCACAATCAGTGTTGTGTGAAGTTCTGGGACCTTGCTCTGTCTTCTGTGAGTGTGTCCCACTCCCCCTTCTCTTACTGCTCACTGGGTGCCCCCAGCATGTCTTGGGATACAAGTAGCATAGCAAGTCCCCTTCCTCACCACATCTTCCCCACATAGAACACACAGGGTTTGAAGTGGTGGTGGTGGTAGTAGTAATGGTTGGGTGTTGTCTGCTTCCTGTCACCTCCTGCAGTTGCCTTGGGTGGGGACACTACTCATCCTCCATCTGTCCCAACACCACATGTTCTACTCTACCTACTTTTCTACCCCATCCCCACCCTCCACTGACTTGCCTGGCACATTCAGACCTTCAATAAGCCTTCCAGTGCCTTCCCAGGACCTTGTCAAGTCTCACTATCACTCCACACCCTCAGTGGCTGGGCCAAGACTTCACAAACAAAGGGTAAAAGGTATTCTGTGACAGTTTGGTCACTGTCCCTCTTTCTTGATGTAGTCATGGCATGGTTCTCAGACATATTGTTTCAGGTGATACATGGACATGAGAATATTTTCAAATTATGCCATAAATGTGAAATGTCAGGGAAGAAGATAATAATTAGGTGACAAGTAGGTGTACCAAACTGATCACCCAAATAGTTCTATGTAATATTTTCTTGTATACCAAGAATTGAGAACCTTGTTCCTACAATAATTCCTGAGCTTGTTATGGTTCATGTATTTGCCTGTGTACTTATTACAATAAGATAATGATCAATTAATAACTGTTAAAATCTAAATTGTGACTGCACAATACACTACATGAGCCTACCAAGAAGGTGCATTTTAAAGCATAGAGATGAACATTTTTCTGGGTGTTGGACACAAAACCATAGAATGACTAAGAACATATATTGATCTTACAAAAATTTTAAAGATTATAATATTTAATGAACCACAATGGTTTCCTTTAAAGCCTGATTATGTACAAAAAAAGCATTTAAGCAGACTCAAGCACAAATGAAGAAAATGGCTGTGAGAATAGGAACCATGTCATCATTTCCTCCCCATTGTTTTATACTGCATCTTCAAACTGTGACAGTTTCATATATTTAGAATGAATGAACATGCCCAGTGACATAAACTGCTTAAGTTACTTTTGTACTTACTTTTCAGTAACCTGAAAGTTTGAGGTTTAAACACATCTAGTAGCTCTGCAGGAGAAAGACCTGGTGATCTGCTAGCATAAAGACTACAGCCAAGAAATTCTATGGGACAGTTCTACTCTGTCTACTAAACTGATTATTAGTTGGAATCAACCTGACAGCACAAATAACAGTATGAATGAATCACTGTTTTTTGTTTTTATTGTTAATTGAATGAAGATTTACAGAACAGATTATCAGTTTTTCAAGAAATCATGTACTTTGTTTCATTACAATGACAGCAATCTCCTCATTGTACCATCATTTATCAGTGTTTCCCTCTAGTCACTTTAATTCTTGCATGTCTCCTTGTGTCTTCTGTACCTTCATATTTCCTTTGCCAAAATCTCTCTTGTTGTAACTTGCTGTAATGTTTAACTTGCTGTAATGTTGTAACTTGACTAGACCAGGATTTCCAGACGTTTGGCAGTTGGGATGTGTTTATTCCCATGGTGATGGGACCTGATACAGCACACTTAACTCTATGGTGAGTGACTATGAGCAGCCAGTCAGTTGAAGGGATGATTCCTTGGGGTTGTGGCATGTTCCCAATATAATGGGCATGAGGAAGTAACACTTTCTCTCTTCCACTGGGAACATGAGACTGCAATTGTAAGCAATTTCCTTGATAATAAACTTCTCTTTAATATATATATATATACACACACATACATGTTTATGTAATATACATGTCACCCATATTAACATGTCTCTACCCTCTATCCCATGAATAATTCATATAAAGTGAATTTATTATCATATGAATTTTTCACAATAAATACCAAATTTTGAAATGAAAAGAAAATGAAAAATAGCTATGGGGCTAAAATATGCTTCTGAAGAAGTACTGATAATACAGATGGCTTAACTAGCCTGCAAACTAGTGGAATTCTCAAAGAACCTTAGTTACCAAGTGCTCTCCTAATGCATTCTGAGCAAAAACCTTTCTAGAAAATCAGTCAGCTACCAGAACATTATTGTTATTGTTTTTTGTTTAATGTCATTGAGTCAGTTCCGATTCATAGCAATGCTGATTAGGGTTTTGAAAGAGCAGCTGGGGGAATTCTGGTATGGTGCTGAACAATAAAGTTAGCATTGAAATCCACCAGCTACTCCTTGGAAACCCTGTACAAGGTTGCTATGAGTCAGAATTGACTCCATGGCACTTAACAAAAACAACACAGGGTTTCTAAGGAGTGATTAGCAGGTTTGAATGGCTGACCTTGTGGTTAGGAGCTCAATGCTTATCTAACAGCACCATACCAGGACACACTGATTTCAAGTAACAGTGACTTAAGTAGATTAGAACTGCTTCACAGGGTTTCTTAGCTGTAATATTTACACTCAAAGGTCACCAGGTGTTTCTCCAGCAGAGCCACTGATTGTGTTTGAACCTCAATCTTTCTGTTAGCAGCAGAGTGCTTAACCGTCTATGCCATGGGGTACCATTCATTCATTCTAATTAAATGAAACTGTTGTTACAGAACTTAACACTATTTAAATTTATTTGGGAATATGTCATTTTATTTTTAATTATAATTATCTTACTAAACAACTTAAAGACAAAAAGCTTAGTTATAGACTTCTATGTATTAAAACCAAACATCAATAAAGTCACATTAAGCAAAACCAATTGCCATGAAGTTAATTCTGACTCCAGAAAGCTTTCTTGGCTATAATCTTTAAGGAAGCAGAGCATCATGGAACCAGAGTTCAAACACACCAAGAATCACTGCAGAAGAATGGACTGGCAAGACACATTGGGCAGGACTAAATTAGCCAAGGGAG